ATGTTATTGGCTGTAAGACTCAAGCGGCGTAGGTCAGTCGTGATTGGTCGGTTTCGATCCGTTCGTGAAGTTAGGTCGTTCTGTTCGGTTCGTTTGTAATGTTAATGTCGTGAATGAGTCATTTACTGCACTATCACATGTTACCCCCCGGGTTCAAACCATTTACTGCATTTACTGTAACAGTAGCAGTAATAACAGTAGTAGCAGTAATAGTAGTGGTAGTAGTAGTAGTAGCAGTAGTAGTAATAGTAACAATAATATTAGTAGTATTAGTATTTAGTAATAGTAGAAATAGTAGTAGTAGTATAAGTTATACTAGTAGTAGTAGTGTGGTAGTAGTAGTAGTAGTAATAATAGTAGTAGAAGTAGTAGTAGTAGTCGTCGTCTTCGTCGTCGTGGTGGTAGTAGTAGTAGTAGTAGTAGTAATAGTAGTAGTAGTGTGGTAGTAGTAGTAGTAGTATTAGTAGTAGTAGTGTGGTAGTAGTAGTAGTAATAATAGTAGTAGAAGTAGAAGTAGTAGTAGTAGTCGTCGTCTTCGTCGTCGTGGTGGTAGTAGTAGTAGTAGTAGTAGTAGTAGTAATAGTAACAGTAATATTAGTAGTAGTAGTAGTAGCAATAGTAGCAGTGGTAGTTGTAGTAGTATAGTAGTAGTAGTAGTAGTAGTAGTAGTAGTAGTAGCATAGTATTGGTAGTATGTAGTATTAAGTAATAGTAGCAGCAGTAGCAGTAGTAATAGTAGTAGTAGTAGTATCAGATGTACTAATAGTAATATTAGCAGTAGTAGTAATACTAGTAGTAGCATTAGTAGTAGCAGTAGTAGCAGTAGTAGTAGCAGTAGTAGTAGTAGTAGTAGAAGTCGTAGAATTAGCAGTAGTAGTAGTAGTAATAGTACTAGTGGTGATCGTTTTAGTAGGAGTAGTAGTATGATTTTATTGAGATGATGCTGCGTTATTGGTAACTATTGACGTCTGCATAAAGTTAAGTTTAAAATGCATGAGAAGTGATGGCAAAAATTCATAACTATCAAGCTGTTTTTTATATAAACTTTGACTAAAATACCACTTGATACCTCACCATCTTATTTTTTGTTGCACTTGTATAGCATGTTCATCTGTTTCCTATCCAGCGTGCTAAGATGTCTCCGCTGACCGATTTTTACTCCGCTTTGCTTCGGCTCAATAGTAACTTTCCATGGAGGCCAGGCCAATTCACGCTTACCGTAATGCATTATGGAACTGTAGTCGTACGGGATTCCCAGACTGTCGATTACATGATGACTATATTTGTAGAAGTTGCTTTCACTACCTAGGATATGATATGAAGGCAGAATAAGATGAATTGACCCTTGACAGAATCGTAGATGATCCCAAATAAGCAGGGCTTTCCCCTTAATGGTGTTATAATGCTGTTTGTTTTACTCCTTTTTTTCTTATCATGCCATATATTACGCGAAAACGTCTCATAATCTGCTGTTAGAGTTCGAGATCACGCTCTTACGTTTCGGTGATCATAAAAGTATAGAAATAAAGGCGGAAACGTGTTTAAAATCGTTGGAAAAAGCACAGTTTGACTTGTAGAAAAGATTGTAGAGGAAATCTAAAAGTGATTCGTGATAAACAGAGTACCGTTGGGAAACTGCAGCTGGCAAAACAATCTTCAATTTAGCTATCCGGAGGTTTGAAATTTCTGTTTTCACAGTCTCCTATCAACCTTATCCTATATAATTTGAATTCAATTTTTTTTTTACCGGAATAGTGGCGCGGTCTACATCGTACCATGAAATCACCAATTAGCATGCACTTGACGACATACAGAGAAGCAACAGCACTTAACAAATCAATGATATCATTAAGTCGGTCTCACCCTTTTGAATGTTATCCCAGTAAATAGTCACATACTTGTCACGATCAGGTCTACTTTGCTCGTGGTACATTCCTGAAACAAAAATGAAAAACATGAGTTACATTTATGGCCATGGTATTGGCTTTTCATTCTTTTAGTCTTCAATAAATGGCTTGATTTATGAATGGATGGATGATTGAGCTGACTATCAAACCAAAAAAATTGAGTGAACCGAGAAACGGATGGATGGATAAATAGGTGAAGACGTTGATAGATGGATGGATGGTAAACTTCCCCTTTGGTATTCACGGCAGAAAAAAATTGCCAAAATTAATTAGATTACCAAGAGCATGTCCAATCTCATGAACGGCTATGCCATGTGTGATGCAGCCAAAACCAAGTGAGATTTGTTGTTTTCCTCCCACACGACCAATTCCTCGTGAATAACATCTGACAAAAAGACAATTGGTAAAAGACATGAGATGTACGAGAGTCAAAGTCGTGAACTGTCCTAACTAGCCTCATCACTTCTTTTGCGGCAGTGTTAGAACTAATAGAATAACAAAATATTATAATTAAATCTACATGTAGTTCACTGATTCCCTAACTCAGCCAATCAATCCCTAATTTTGATCTTTCCATGAAATCTGAGAAATTCTTACCCTTTTCCCACAAAGAACTCAATGTAGTCCTTTTCGTATCTTCTTTCTTTAAAACGAATGCAAGTAAACTCTTCCCATTCTCGTATTGCGCTGTGGATTATTGCTCTCCTTATTGGTCTGACTGGAATAAAAAAAAAAGGATACTGGTCTAAAGGACGTTTTTGCTTGATAGTGCAATGAGTGCATGTGCAGTTGTGAAGTTGCACTGAAAATCTACGAAGCCCTCCATTGTCAACTGGAATGTTGATAGTGCAGGGAAATGATAAAAATTAAAGAAAATAGATCTTTATTTAATAGAATAGAAGAGCAATCATGCATTCAAGCATTGGCACAGTTTCGGCGAATTAAGGAGCCATAGAAAATTCAGTTTCTGCCTACTGCTTTCTGTGACTGTGTGACTAATAGCCATAATTTCAACAATCAATTTAAATGATTTCAGAATAAGTTCGTAGAGATTAAAGAAAATTTATTGCAAAAAATTTCAGATCAGTGGAATAAAAGCTAAAAGGGAAGAGAGTAGCGCACAGCGCAATTGCACTCACTTGTACTAATAGTGTAATAAACGATTCCTCTAGGCCACAGCCTGTCTTTGTAACTCGATAGCCCTCGAGCACCAATGGCACCATTAGGACTAAGGCCATGTTTGACTGCCTCCATCTCCTTTTTAGTAAGCAGTATATCACCTTCAAAAAATTCATACTGGTCGGAGGCACCTAAAAGGGAAAAAAAAGTTGCGTCAAAACCTTGCGTGCCTGAATATGACGAAGTTCAGCTCTTACTTATAAAACTAACTCTTAAAACTAGCGTCTTTCAACCTAACATCAAAGTTTAATATATTGCTCGGACAAAGTAAAACTGTCTGCAGCGAGGTAAAAGCCTCCAACATCAACAGGATATCAAGGATTGATCGTTCGGTTCGCTTAATCTTCACATCACCCCTTAAACTATGAGAAGCACGAAGAGAAAATCACATGATGATAGCTGTTTACGATTATGGGAATAGTTGTAGCTGCAGTTGAATGTAACTATATTTTTTAGAGAATCATACGTACCTCTTCTTGTTATATCATGCCCCAGTGAGGAAGCTAGCAATAGAAACGTCAGGCACACGAACAACATTTTGATGCTAACACAAAACTGAACAACAATCCTAAAAATTTTATTTTATAGCAGGAGATTTCTGGGATCCCTTTGCCTTTTAATTGAGTAAATCCAGCTAAACAAACCTTACTTCGCTCTCTAAGCAGGTGTGAAACCATTCGGTATGAAAATTTAATTGAGATCAACAGCTAGTTAAGTTTCACATCTTGACGTGAATTGTCGCCTCTCCAAGTCGCTATCAGCTGATCAAACGATGTCGATGAAAACGGCTAAAAGGTCATTAGCACCTGAGGTATCAAATTCCTCTAAAAAAAAGTCATTATTTGATTAATAGACCAGCTACTGTAATGTTACTGCCTTCTGATTTCTACGCAAGATTAAACCATAGAGCAATTACTTTTAGGAAATAAATATTGCAAAATTCACTCTAAATTGACCAAACGGAGAGTCTGCGATTTTTTATATTGACTCATTTCTTAGCAGGATATGATGACGTGAATTTCTTTTGTCTCAAGCGTCTTTTCTCTTTTTCTTTAGTAAACGTTGCTGGCCCAAAAAAAAACACTTTCATTCCGCTCTCCATTCATTTTATAATCAAAGCGGTATTTTATCTTTCACCATGGACGAGGGATGCCACGATAC